GTGAGGCTTGTTTCTGTTTTCAGCCCTGAGGAAGGGCTTGTGTGCCTGAGAGCTCTTCTCTCTCCTCCGGCCACATCTAATAAAAGATTTTACTTCTCCATGCAAATCTTCATTCTCTTTCTATCACTGCAGCAGCAACGATGCTGCTGTTACAGCTGTTGTGATAGACCCTATCAGACAGCTACCATGTGCTCGAATAAATAACAGTGGGATCCCGGGGATCTCCCACCCCACAAAAAGAGAACATTCACATTGTGCTGTGCCATCATCTCAAAAAGGATCCATTTGCGGGACAATGTACAGGAACAAAACTGCAGGTTGAGCAAAAAATTTGATGTGTTTTCTTTGAGAAATCTATGTGCTATTGAAGAGGCTTCTGTTTACATGTATTTTCCTATGCGGTGTGCACTGCAATGAGTAAAAAGAAAAGGCACGTCATGCTTCAAGTCTGTTAAAGTTCATACACGGCAAAAACAAAAAATCAAGGTCAAACAGAAAATCTTTAATAGCTGCACCGTCAACGTGCCTCGCAGGACTTGAAATCTATGAGTTTACACAGTCAGGATGTACAAAACAGCGAAAGAAAACCCCTGCGACTTCTTTATCACTATAAAAATAAACTGTTGTGCGTTAAATGCGCTGCTCAGAAAGTAGCTGAGCATCGAAACACCTCCGAATAGCATCAAAGTACCTACAGTGCATGTATAAAGAATGCAGCTCTTTGGTGTAGAATGCAAAGGGGGTGTTGATGAGGGAGCTGTAAGTGAATACGGGTGAGGAGATAGTCACTAATGCAGGAGCCAGGCGCATTCTTGGTTGGGGGGAGGGCAGCGCCTGCTGGTTTCTGCGCAGCCCTCCGTGGATTATCTGATGTCGCAAGAACCCGATTGCTCGCAGCTTTCTCATCGCCGTCTCATCCGTGTCTTCATTTAGTCAATGTGATCATGTGAGTTAGTCAAATCTGAGCCCGGGTCTAACGAGCACAGGCGTTTCCTGTAAACACGCACCAGCAGCCCGATCCCCGGCACGGCGGGATCGGCTCGATTCGCTCAAATAATGCTGAAAGAAGTAATTTGTGCAAAGGGGGAAACGCAGAGGGAAAAAAAAAAAAAAAAAAAAAAAAAAAAAAAGAAGAAGCCACAAAACACTGATAAAGCTTCTCATAAATGATACCGTTTTCTAGTCTCGGTCTCATCTGAATGTTGCACAAACAGTTTGTGAACTGTTTTGTAAGCAGAGAAGCAGCGTGATCCTGATTTTGCAAATAGATATTGTTGCGCAGAAATGAAGAGTGTAGAATTTTTGTATTCCACCTCATGGCCCAGGCACTCAAAACAGCTTTCAAAAGGACTTCTAAAATGTGTTCTCCAACTTTGAGCCATTAGGCTACACTCTGATCGTGGTTTCGAGCTTATCTCCTTAAAAGCCTAAACACGGTGTATTTACTTTATTTATCTGTTCATGCCAGCAAATTGAGAATTTCATGTAATGCCCTGACTGCCAGAGCAGGGGCTTGAAAAAAAACCCAAAACTGCCCCATTTTGTGAGCCCTGGGAGAAGACTTGCCCAAGATCACGCAGGAAGTCTGTGGCAGAGCTGGGACTGAGCCCAGCTCCCCTAAATCCCGTTTGTGCCTTAACCACACGACGGGCCAGATTTAATAGCTGCCTAAATATGAATCTAAAATGAGAGAGTCCCTGTGCAAAAGAACGAAACTTGGCTGATCTCCTGCTGCCAGGGATAGACCAGGGGTGTTTTGCTACTCAGGTCAGTTGTTTGAGACAAACACCCACAGAAACCCTTGAAAGATTTTAAATTTAGGTGAAGGCTTCCTGCTGCCTGCTCAGCTCTGTTTTCATTCTCCCTGACAGCGAGGGCTTTCCCGTGTGTGCTGTGAGAAGAGCAGGACTTGAGCCAGATCACCAAACTTCCAGCATGGATTTTTATATAATGTAATTGTACATAATGTAATTTAAAAGTACTTATACATTTAAGTGCATTAGGAGTTTGGGGACTGAAACGAAACTTTTCGGCTTTCAGCAATGTTATTTTATTTCTTTCTGTTGTTATGGAGGAGATTATCACAATTTTGGGCATGCTGCCTGGTTCCAAAGTCTAGTTTGGGGCTAGGTTTAATATTGCAAGACTGTGTAGTAACATATAGTGCAGAACAGTAAACACAGGTCTGTCAGTGCATTTGTTGTGGAAGTTTTTGCTTCATACATAAAACATCGATTGGGGAAGCTCTCCAGAAAGGCAGCAAATGTCCTCAACATAAGGAAAAATGGTAGGAGGAGAAAATCTAGGATTTATTTTTCCAGGTTGGCCCTTGCCTCATATCAAACATTTCCAGTGCCATGAGCATAAATCACAGAGGTCACCGTGGCTAATCTGTAAAAATAAATGGGATGTTTTCATTTCAGCCATGTAATGTGATATTATACGATGCTCTTTGAGGAAAAAGAAGAAAAGTTTTATGATATTCTGAGTCTCTCATTTTTTCCTGAAACAGCCTTTTTATTTCCTTATATTTTCCACAGAGGTACCACATCTCAGTGGATAAAAACCACACGGCTTCTGTGTTCTCTGCTAAATCATGTTTACAGTCATCCAGAGCCCTGACTCAAGTGAAGTGCCCCTTGTGATCCAGAAGGTCAGTAGATTTCACCTGAAAAAGTAAAATCATTAAAAAGGGGTGAAAAATGAAAGGGGGAGGGGGAAACTAATGGGTTTTGCTGTGTCATGAGAACAAGAAATATTGCGACACCTGACTCAGGGAATCTTTTAGGAAACACATTTAAGAGCAGAAGTGCAGGTTTAATATTTTTAAAAATTTGTGGGCCCTGAAGTTGTTTTTAACTCTTCAATGTAAGGTCTTTCAAAATGCTAAAATCAGAAAATAAAGATTAAATTTGTTAAAAGAGTCATTTGGTGTGACAAAACTGGTCACTCCCACACCCATTTCCAGCAAAATTCCACTTTGTTCTCCTTGCCAAGCTACCATTTATAGATAATCAATATTTAACTGGCCTAGTCCTGTGCTTAAACTTGGGAGTGTTTGTGGGATCAGGTTTGGCCACATAGTACAAAGTGCTGTGCAGCAACTTCCAAAGAAATGCAAAGATCTTGCAAGACGATGGAATATTTTGCATGCACGGATAAACAGCTGGCTTGGACACATCCTACTGCAAAAGAATCACACTCAAACCAACTGGAACTGCTCAAGGTGCAATAAGCCCTTCAAAACTCCATTCAGAGCAGTGGCAAGACCAAGATCTGATGCTTAAATATCTATATTTTAAACTTTTGGCCTTATCAGGTTTGACCTTCTCTTCATGAAAATAAATGTGCTTCGAATTACTTTGAGGCAACATTCAAATTTGCCAGTAAAGATACTTCATCTCCCAGAATTACCTGGTTAGTAAGTATATTACTATATTACCTTGTGTGTATTACACATCCTGTAATGGTTTTGATTAATCTTTATTTGCCATATAAGTGACCTAAATTTCAGCCTGGGTAGCTTTGCTCATTTTACACTGGGAGAACATTTTGGGAAAACTTAAAAAAAAAATAAAATTAAAAAAAACCACCCCCACATAATTTTAGCTGCAATTATTTTAGAAATGTCCTCCATTCAGGCAGGATGATTTTTATATTGAGGGAAACAAGCCCCTGGGTGTGATCTGAACCTACTGATGTAAACTAAACTGACTTTAGCAGGTCTCCATGTGTCTTTGGGGGAAAAACGAGAGCCCACATGGAAACTCACCTCCTTCTTATCCCATTTCCTTGCAGAAGGTGCTAACCTCAGAGTCTAGCAGAGATTAAGCACTTTGCTAACAGCATTACAGATTGCATTTAACTCCTAAAAACCTCCTCAGTGCCAAGTGGCATATTTGAAAATATATTTTGTCTTTGTCTACTGCATTGAATTCCTCTGTAGCGTCCACACCTCTAGAGCAGAGGTACCCGGAGAGCAGCTGGTGCTTTGGTGTCAAAGGGAATGAAAAAGAGATGAATCCTTGGCCTGTTTCGGGCGATGTCCACAGCAAATCTCTGTGTTCTGGGTGTTCCCCTCCTCAGGCAGCACTGATAGGCGCCAGGCCCCTCACCGAGCACTGCCAGCAGTCGGGGGGCAGTGGGTTCCAGGGACACCACAGGAGGGACTGGCGGCACTCGAGGGTCATTGGGGCTCTTATGGCACCACAGGAGGGGCTGGCTGGGGCTGTCGTGGCAGAAAGGGCTGGTGCCATCACTGCAGGAGGGGCAGGTTGGGGCCATGTCACCCTCAGTGACCCACCCGAGGACATCGATGGCCAACAGTTACAAGGTCCATTGACATGGGCTCTACGGCCCTGCCCTCGGTTTGTTACCCAGGCGATGCCCATCGCCCAAATCCTGCATCACAAAGTGCCCAGTGTGGCTGGCACCTCACACCCCAACGGGACAGAGGAACAGCCATCAAGAATTCTTTACAGAGAGAGTAATTAGGCATTGGAATGGGCTGCCCAGAGAGGTGGTGGATTCACCATCCCTGGAGATTTTTAAACGCAGATTGGACGTGGCACTGAGTGCCATGATCTAGTAAATGGACTGGATTTGGACCAAGGGTTGGACTCGATGATCTCAGAGGTCTTTTCCAACCCAATCGATTCTGTGATTCTAAGAAATCCCAGAATATTGGTGTTGGAAGGGCCCTCTGGAGATCACCCAGTCCAACCCCCTGCCCAGGCAGGGTCACCTGGGGTAGGTGACAGGGACACATCCAGGTGGGTTTGGGATGTCTCCACAGAGGGAGACTCCACGCCCACCCTGTGTGGCCATTCCAGTGCTCTGACACCTCCATGGGAAGAAGTTCTTCCTCCTGTGGGAACCTGAGGTCCGCAGATGAGGTGGAACTTGCTGTGTTTCATTTATGGCCATTGCTCCTCGTCCTAAAAGGGGCTGAGGCGGCAGGGGCGTGGTCAGAGGGGCGTGTCCAGAAGGGCACGACCGAGATGAGGGGCGTGGCTAACAGAGGCGAGGCCAATCAGAGAGCGAATCGGGCAAGGGGTGTGGCCAAAATGGGGCGTGGCCAACAACGGGGATGTCCAGGTTCGGGGGCGTGTCCACGACTGGGGGCGTGTCCCCAGCCCGGTGGGCGTGTCCCCAGCGCCGGGGGCATGTCCTCGCGCTCCCCGAGCAACAGCCGCGGCGGGGCCGTTTACAAACATTGCCCGCGCTCCGGCCCCGCTCGGCCCCCCCGCTCCGCCGGGCGGGCACCGCCGCAGGTGAGGCCGCGCCGGGGGCACCTGCGGGGGTCCCTCATCACCCCCCCCACACCCCCTCAGGGGCACCCGAGCGAGCCGCAGCCCCGTCCCGCGGGCGGCCCCTGCCGTGAGGGGCCGGCGGTGCGAGGCAGCGCGGCGGGGGGGCCGCTGCCGGCCGGGTGCGTGAGGGGGTTTGGGGCGCACGCCCTGTGAGGAACTGGGGGCTCGGGGCGCCCCTGAGCCGGCTCCGGGGGTCGGAGCAGGAGGAGGCGCAGGGCAGGTGCGGGGGCTCGGGGCACGGCGGCTCCGGGTCCAGGTGTGCCCGGCGCTGGCCCCGCCCGGCCGCAGGTACCGGGCCCTCCCGCCGCCCCCTCCCCGGCCGTGCGGGCGGGGCGGCCCCGGCCCGGCCCCCGCTCCCTCCCGCCCCAGCCCCGCTGTCCCTCGGCCGGTGCCGCCGGTGGCCCCCGCCCCGCACCCCCGAGCAGCTCCCGCCCCACACCTGGGGGGTCGCCCGGTCCCCCCCCCGAGCCCCGCCGGGTCTGGGGGGGATTTTCCGCCGGGGTCGGGGCTGTGCGGAGCGAGGAGAGACTTTATTTCTTTGTGAGTCAAAGATGTTCCTGGAAGAAGGATTTGTAGTAAGTGGCTCATGGGGCGGAGGAGGAGGGGGGGGGGTTGTTAATGAAAAGTTTATTGATCCGTTTTGCCAGTTTTTGTTTCATTTACCTTTGTCTTCTGAAGACCGAACCCTTCCCAATCATTTCTTCTCGTGATCGTTTCTTTAGCATCGTGTTTCTCTCTTTCTTCTTCTTTTTTTTTTTTTTTTTTTTTTTTTAAAGAGGAATAGGAAGTTTAGAAAATAAATAAATAAGCCTCAACTGACTTCTTGAACAACAAAAGAGGTTGCCAGGCGAGGACAATAAAATTCTAGAATATCCAGAGATTGGATTTCATTCCTGTTCCGTGATACCCCCTGGACTTTGTGTTTTGGGGTGTGAGGATTTTTTTTTTTGTTTGTTTGTTTGTTTGTTTGTTCCTCACACAGAAAACCTGCAGCCAAAGTAAGGTCTGTATGTTCTCTAATGAACCATCCCATAAAATGTGCTGTGTGACTCCCTGTAAGTATTTGAATTGAAGTGTAATAGTTTTGAAGTGGAGGGGAACAAAAATCTTTATGTTGGGTTATTGATCTGCTGATGAAAGGCGTTTGAATGTGAAAAGGGTTTAGTTTGGGGGGGTTGTGTGTTTAAAGGGTTTTTTTTTTATGGCAACATTTTTTTTTTCATTTTTGAAATGACCTTGAGAGCTTTAAAACTACATCAGTTTCTACCAGTGGGTTTGAGGGGGAGGCAGGAGCAGAAGAATCTAGTGAAAATCGAAAATAGAAATGGGAACTGAAGTGTAGCTGCAGTGAAATATTTTCTTATAGAAGTATGTGAAAAGGGAAGTTTTTGTAAGAATATGTGAGAAAGAAGAGAGGGAAATAACGCAGTTTCAGATGCAGAGGGGGGAGAGAGGGAGCATATCATTCTTCACATTTTATTAGGCCGTGAAATGCAGGAGTGATATGATCTGGAAGACACAGAAATAAAACGCCTAACTACAAGTTGAATAGCAGGCATTGACTTGCTGACCAGTGCTCACAGGCTTGGTTGGGGGCTGGTTCTGTGTCTGCAAAGGTATAAGGGCTATGACAATGGCTTGCAAATGCTTTAACGCCATGTTTTATTGCTCTTAGGAGCTCTTATTAACTGTAGGTTTGGGAATACGACTAAGACTTTAATTTGTGATGTCCACACTGAGGTTTCAGCGTTTCCTTGGATAATAGAAAAGGACAGTTGCAAATAAGTAGGATAAACTGCATTCTTTGGCAGAGGGGGAGGGAAGAGGGAGAGGGTGGAGGAGGGTTTTTTTTTTTCTTCCCCTTTACTAGTTCTGTAACTGAGTCAATATTTTAAGATCTGTAGCAGGAATGTGGCTTTGTGATCACTGATCTTTCTGCAACATGTTTTTTTAATGAGCAATATTGTAATGCTGTGCAAAATACTTGGGTTATAGATCTCGCAGCTCGTTCTTGAAATCAGTGTCTGAGTTTTCAAGTTTTGCCTTTTAAGTTTGCTGGGATGATGAATATGAAAAACAAATAACTTTAGAACCGCGGCTATTACAGTGATTATTGATTGGCTTGGCCTCCAGCCAAGCAACTCTTCTGCATGCACCAGAGTTGCTGATGTAAATTCTATGGATTCTTTTTCATATGTTTGCTTTTTTTCTTTCTTTCTTTCTTTCTTTTAAATCTCTCAACGGCATATATGGCTATTTAGGAACAGTAGATCAGTTTTTAGTTAAGGTTGTTCAATTATGTCTTCATCGCTTTGGAGTTGGTTGAATGACTTGACATGAGATTAAGCACAACAAAAGAAAAGGCAGGGGAACAACAGCTGCCTTCCAGTACCAGAGCTCCAGATTCTGAGCAGTTCAGCATTTTACCTTTTTAGCATTACGTGGTGTCAGGTTTAAATGCGAATATTTCCAGTCGCCTTCACAAGAACCTCGGGCTGATAACACATCAACCAGTCAACACTGGATGTTCGCGCTGGGGGCTTGTTTGTCTCTTTGCATTTTGAAGAAAATGATCTGACGGTCTGATACTGAGCAGTGAATTGATCTCATTAACTTTTAAGACAAAAGTAGCAAACAGTCACCACTAGTTTGTACTTGTTTAGTTACTGTGTGGTAAGAACTTTAAGGTGTGTCCTTAATGGCAACTGACGATTCTTGCTGCGAACCTTGTTTATTTTAGGTAGATGTTTTATACAGAATTTCCAGTGGGACAAATTACTCCACTGACTGCACTTATTCTTTCTGAAGGCTGACTGTGAGCATAAGAGAATGATTTTGCCATGCTGCAATCAGTATATATTTAAAAATTGAAGCCATTAAGTTTTGCTGTGTATTTTAAGGCTTTTCCTACTTCCTTTGTTTAAACATTCTCAAACAGTGCATATCATAGATGAGTTTAAAACATTCATATGGCACTGTTGGGGCCGAATTTAAAATTAAAATGAATACCTACGTCCTTGTTGATCTAAATAGAAAAAGCATTTCTTTAAATAAGTGGATGTTTTCTGGTTTTGAGTGTGGTGAGGAGGCTATATTTGTATCTTGTAAACAAAGTTTCACATTAAGTAGTCTTTAGAGAATGGCTTCCAGGCTTTGCATTAGAGGATATTTTTTTTTCTCTTTAAGTGAATAATGTTTTTTTGGGTTTACTTTCTTTTGGTGTAGGGGTGGGGAGAGCAAGATTTAGGGCGGGGGGGTAGAAAGAGGAAAATAATAAACTTTAGCACCTTTTTATCAGACTGTCTTACACAAAAGGTTACTTGATTCTAGTTTCCCCTTTCATTAGATCACACTCAAAAACATTCCTTTTTTGAGCACTTTTTTCTAATCTTCAGAAATATCTTCTCTTATGTTTTCATTTAGAACTATGTTGATAGATTGATAGCATATTTTATACAAAGTGCTAAGTAATTACTGCGATCAGGGGAAAATAATTTTAAAAGGGAACTGTGGGTTTCACTTAGACTTTCAAAAGAGTGATTACAGTAAACTTTTAGTTACAAAAAATCCGAGAGTTTGCAATTAAGAAGCTCTGGGGGAAACGTTAAGTACATTTTAACTTCCCTTTGTTCTTTGGGACTTTTTGTTGTCCCGGCTCTTTCTAACCTGAACCTTGATTTGGAATCCATTGTCCTGGTAAAGGATTCCATACAGTGGGTATGTAAATGCACTCCCTCTTTCCTGTGTTATGAAATGCTGGCATATGGAAGGAGCAGCCCCCCCTTCCCCAAGGTAAAATGGGCTGAGCTTTCTTTTCTTTGCAAGAAGCTGAAAGAGGAGTTTGACCTTTGAACTCCCCCTCACACTTCCACGCTGCTTTCAGGATGATTAAATAACCGAGGATATTTGCCTGTGTCTTATGCTTATTTATCTCACTTAAAACGTTGTAATACTTAACCGTTGAGGTATTGTCTTTAAATACAGCAGGCCGGTGCCTTTGGGTTGCAGCGGGGCTGCCATGTGCCAGCTCAGCCTCTTGTTTGTGGGGCTGTGCCTTTGGAGCCTCAGCGTTCCAGGCAGATCCTCTTTCCACATCTCATAACTGCGCTCGTTTCAAACCGCTCTTTGGGGCGTTTCTGCTGACCCGTGACACCTTCCCCCTCCCTTCTTAAGGTGACTTTAGGAACAAAAAAGTTTTTCTTCCTGGTGCCCGAGCGTGCTCAGGGGATTCTGCTGACTACTGTATGTGTGCTGTGAGGGAGATGTGACTCATACCACCAGAGATTTGCAGCTGAACACAAAAGTAAGGAAAAGGATATGACCAACCACGTAAGAGTCTCAATACTATGTTGCATTAGAGGATTAAAAAACCCCAAGCACGCTTTCTCAGCCTAGCCTTCCCTAGGTTTTGATGCACCTCCAGACAGAAAGCTGCTCTCTCAAAATAATTTGCTTTTAGCAATCAACTTTTGTTTTTTTTTTTCAGTGAAATTGCCAAATAATCGCCTTTTGTTGCTGATGAAACTTGTTTATGCCAAACGTGGGCGTACGTCACTGGGGAAAATATATTCAAACTTCTACTGTTATAACCACATGACTTTGGTCAGAGCATAGTTTATAGCTTATCATAAATCTAGCTTTTGATTCTTCCTCATTTTTTTTTTTTATAAGGGGGGCAGCAAGTTAAGTGGCGTGATAAGAGCAGACTTTCAATTTCAAAGTAAAAGAACTTATGTGCTGGGAAAAAATGAGTTTGAAATTAAAAATATAGGTGCCATACTTGTTTGGAAAGACAATGCCTTCAGTTTATTGCAGGGGATGGAACTGGTTATCAGGCTGCCTTGAGGATTTCAAAAGAAAGTACAAGAGGAAATGTGGTCAGAATATGCTGGGAAATCTATGTAGATCAGTGTGACTTCAAGATTTGAGCAGAACACCATCCAAGTAGAAGTGAATAATTGACTGGGTAGTGATTTTCTATGTGCTGAAGATTTTATGTAACTAAAAGTATCAAAGTCTGAGTTTGTTTATGTGCAATAGATACGGGGGCATTTCTCAGTGGAGTAGAGGCAGTACAGTTTGCCTCTGACATGAGCTACAGGAGGGATCCTGTATTGTTTTTATACTTTATTGTGGTAGTTGAGAACTGGTGG